AAAAAAAAAAAAAAAAAAAATCAGGCCAACATTCCAGGCAGCGGCCAAGCTCCATCCTTAGCTACACTCTCAAATCTCCACCCGGCCCGGCCACAAGATTTATCAGGAAACCAGTTAGCGCTTCAGGTCTGGAAATGGATGTCCCACTGCCGTGAGAGGTGAACTTTAGCCTGGAGCTCGCTGGTGGGGCTCCTTTCCCCTGCTCAGCTCCCCAGAAATACTCATATAAAAGCGTCTCCCCCAATTCCAGAGGTGCCTCAGTACCAGATGGTTAAGGGGGAGTGGGCACTACACAGGGAGGCGGGAGGGGACCAAAACAAGGGGTCCGGGACAGATGCCTCGCCATTTACTGCCTTCCTCTGCACACCCATCAACATTCCTCTGCCCCAGCCTCAGCGCAGGCAACCACCAGCTCCTAATAAGAAGTAATAATTTTAAAAAAACCTCATAAACTTGCCATTCAAGCCCAAGCTGATGTTGCACAAGACCTGGAAGTCCCCCCACCCCTGCCCCAGATGAGCTGGCATGGGATCGCTGAGCAGACTGCCAGACGCTAGTAAGTTTGTTACCAGTATCTTCAATGAGATGAGAAACTTTCTTTCCTGTGAGCTTCATCCTGGACAAACCATGTTTCTCTATTCCCAGCTCCCTCGAGCACATCCACCTGGCTTCTGTTTCTCCATTTTGAAATGACACTGTTACAAGCCTTTGAAATTAAGAACCTGTTTCAAAGCAGGGTTTCTCAACCTCAGCGCTACTGCCACTTGGGCCGCATCAGATCATGGCGGGGAAGGAAGGCTGGCCTGTGTTGGAGGGTGTTTGGCAACTATCCTCAACTTCTAACCCAAGAGATGCCTGCAGCACCTCATCCTCAAGTCGTGACAACCCCAAACCGCCTGAGACATTGCAAATGCCCTCGGGGGGGATGGAGGGGCACTGGAAAGAGGAGAGAGGGGAGGGTCAGTCATCACTGGCTGACAAGCTCTGATACAAGCTTCTACCTACTTGTAAATACCAGATGCCAAAAGACACTCTGGGGCTCCTAGGACTTGAGGTCTGGATGCTGCGTTTTACATACATGTCCATGTACGTGTATGTGGTTATCTGTTTTGAAAACCACAAAAAGCCAGCAGCTACCACAGGAATGGCCCAGGAGGGATTTTGTTGCTGCTATTTGTTTGTTTGGGAACAATCAGGCTCACTTTTCCCAAACCATACAGCAGGGTTTTCTCAACCTCCACACTACTGACATCAGGGGCCAGGTACTTCTGATTGGGGGGCAGGGGGTGGGCTGCCCAGGGTATTGCGGGGAGTTTGGCAGCATCCCGTCCCCCGCTCACTTGATACCAGTAGCAATCCAAGCTGTGACAACCCAAAATGTCTCCAGACATTGACAATGTCCCCTGGAGGGCAGATAAATGTCCCCAGATCAGTTGAGGCTGACTGGTTTAAAGCATACTGCCTGTTCACATGGTGGGAATTCAATAAATATTAATGATGACTACATAATGAGAGGTGTTCCTCTTCAACAGCTGACCCTATTCCGAGGGCACAGAAGAGGATGAAAGAAGTGTTGCTAAGAACGAGAAAAGAAAGCACATAAAGAGGTGAACATGTCCAGATAAACAATAGAGATGCTGGAGGGCTGTGGAAACTATTGCGGAAGAGAGTGGAACACAGCCAGGGTGATTCTTGGGAGCCTAGCTCACCACGGAATGGATCGGGAGGCCAAGACGACAGCTCCCAGGGTAGGATGTGATCACTGCACAGTTCTTCCGGGTGAGCCTCAGAATGTCAAGATCAAGAACTGATCTGAGCGGCCGGCTTACACTGCTCTGTTTTCCAGGTTTCAAGGTGCTTCTCTCACATCGGAATGCAGGCCATCCTGCCTCCCCTGTGAGAAAAAGCCCCAGTGGCTGGCCTGGGAGGCCTAGCTCATTCCTCTAGCAGAGGGTGCCTGGCCAGGACGGTGTGGGCCACCAGCAGGGCCCTGATAGCTGGGGGTGCGGAGGGGAGGGCTTCCAGAGACCTGTCTACGGGAGGGAACAGAGCGGCCTGGGAATACTTCCCAGACCTAGGGAGACGTCGTTCCTGCAGGAGGGACTCCATCAGGGCCCAAAAGGGTGAAGAACACTACTGTGTGCTCTGGTCAAGCACCGGGGGTCAGATGCCTGCTGGGCAGGGTCTAGCCCAGGGCCAGGTCTTAATTTCATCCTGCTGGGGCCAAGGGCCACACTCCTGGCAACAATCCAAGAGTCCCTCTGGATGTAGTCTCTCTTTGATATCTGGGGTCCAGGGACAGATCCCAAGTATCTTTAGTACTAGACAAACTCTAGGGTGATGACTTTTTCCTTCAAAGGACAAAAAGTACAGGATGTGTGTTACTGGGTACTCATTTCTCTTCCCCCGCACTGGACCTCTCCGAATTGTAGGTAGAGTCCAGTTTGCCAGCACAGCCCAAACAATCCTTAAGATCACTGCTCCTTCCTCTGTGGAGTCTATCCATGCAAACTCCACACTTAAGGTTCTTAACCTGGGATGCGGGAACCAAGAGGATTCTGGGGCTTTTCGGATCTGAAATCATAAAGTGAATTTCCCATCTGCCCAGTTTCCTGGAGAGTGGGTCCACAGCCTTCACCAGATTTCTGAGTTATGGGGTCTGGACTTTCCAAAAAACCTATTATCTGTCACATTAAATGCATATATACTTGGATTCAGCATTCCACTTCTGGGACTTTATTTTATAAATCCAACCCCACCTGTGAGCAAAGATCTTCACTGACTACTCACTGCAGTATTGTCTGTAGCAGAAAACTACTGGAAACAATCTAAATACCCTGTAGACGACTGGTTACATAAATTATGGCACATTTCAAGGAAATGGTAAAACCATGAGTCCATTAAAGAGGCCCAAGTAGCTCTGGAGGTTTGCTCTCATGCTCTCTTACAGCAGCTCTGGGGGAGAGGAAAGGAGAGGGATTCCCCCAGGGACATTTGGCAGTGTCCAGAGACATTTGTGCCTGTCACAACTGGGGGTGCTCCTGACATCGAGTGAGTGGAGGCCAGGCACACTGCTCAGGCCCACCCCAGAGCCCATGATGCCCCCCACACCAGAGAATGAGCTGAGGTGTAGAATTCTGGCTTTAGTGTGGTCCCCAAGACACATCTAACAAAAACCACAAAGTACAAAAGCCTGTGCTGCCACTGCGTGCGTGTTTTTAAAGAGAAGACATACACATATCTCCAGAAAGAGACATAAGTCGGTGACAGTCCTTGTCTCTGGGGAGAGGGACTGGATGTCTAGGGGACGGGAGTGGGACACTGACTTTACCCTTTCCATTCTGTACTGGGTCCTTCTACCAGGGTCCACTGGAAGGTTTTTGTTTGTCTGTTTGTTTGTTTTTTAAAGAATTGCTCTAGACGCAAATGTTCCCTGCCCCTGGGCTCTCTGGCAAGAGTCCTGTGTCCACAGCCTCGGGACTGTTGCCTCCCCTTCCCTCTCTACCCCGTCCCTGCCCTCCTAGAGGGGAGGAAAGGAGAGGGGCCCCCGTCCCGAGGCAGCCCCTGGGCGGGTCTCTGCTCCTTCCAGGGGTCTGCCCACCCTTCTCGAGAGGACCGGGGCCCACATGGCGGGCAGGGTCTGGGCCACCTCGCATGCAGCGCCCTCTCCTCATCCTGCGAGGGACACGTGCCAACGCAGCCCCCTCCTGAGCCAGGGCCGGGCCTGGCCCCCTCTCCGGGCAGCCTGGGCCCTGGGGATCGCCCCCAGCCTCGGCCTCCGCTCGCTCACCTGGCTCGCCTTGTAGAACTGCTTCTTCAGCCCCGCCACCGACATGCTGCCTCCCGCCGTCGGGTCTCAAGCCCGGAGCCAGCGAACCGGAGGAACCGCGCAAGCGACAGGCTCCCGGGCACCGCCGACCCCGCGCGCGCTTCAGCGGGCCCCGTCGGCGCCGCCTCCGCCGCTCTCTCGCCAGCTCCCCGCCTGCGCCGGCGCCGCCTCAGTTCTCCGCGCGCCCGCGCGACCAGGATATTACATGGCAACCGCACACTTCCGGTGTCGGCCCTGACTGTGCACGCACGCCCCCTGCCGGCCGGAGAGCGCACGCACACTTCGCTGACCGTGAGAGGGACTTCTCCCGCCAGCGAGTGGACTGGGGCGAGCCTAGAGGGGCCATGGAGGCTGCAGCGCCCCCCAAGGACCCGGAGGTAGCCCTGACCTCTTAGGAGAGGCGATTAAATCTTTCTTAAGAAGTTGGAGGGCTGAGTTTACAAGTCTCTAGATATCTGTTTGCTAATCTCATCTTTACCCAATTGTTCTATGTGTTTAGTCCCTCCCCTCTTCCTGCCCTCCCCAAATTGGTCCCGTGTTCATCCATTCAGCTCCCGCTTCTACCTCCTTTCCTCTGCCCCACTGTCCTCCCTGCCCTCATCAGAAGGTTCTACCAGCCTCCTCTCTGACGTGTCCGCCTTCAGTTTCTCCCCTACAAAACAGCCAGGAAGATGCTTCTAACACAAAATTTAGATCATATTAGTCTCCTATTTTTAAAGTCTATCTACTGCCCTTACAATACCCGTCCAACTTCCCAACAGGGCCTCCAATGCTTGCATAATTTCGCCCCATCAACCCTTCAAACTTCAGCTCTCTTCCTCTTCTATAATTCATGATCCCTGTTTCCTGTGCGCCTTTGCTAACGTTGTTCCTCTCTTGCACATGATTCCCAAGCTCGTCCCCTATCCTCTGTGCGTGAAAGAAGTATCTGTTGGGAATGTCACCTCCTTCAGAAAGTCTTCCCAGATTGATACATGTTGTTATTTTGAATCAATTGTTATTGTATTGAATTAACTGGAAATTAATAATGAATTGGAATGAGCAAATTAATTCAAAAAGAGGATCAAGAAAGTGGTTAGAGTTAAATTAAGTATTTGCAACTTCATTGCTGAAATCTGACAGATTTGGCTGATTTTCTGAAGCAGAAGATTGTTGGAAGCTTCCAAATGCCTCAAAAGAAGGTACCTGTAGCTCTGTGGATAAAATGAGAGTTCCTGTAGCCAGGATTCTCACCTGGCGGTGGCTGACTAGCTCACTACACACCTGTGGGCAATACATGGCTATTGACTCTATAAAAAGAGCTCCGCCCAGTGCTCTGGGTGCGACATGGTGGCACAACTGCAAGGCTGCAGGAGAACAGAGCAAAGGACAGAGGCCCAGAGGACGTCTGTGCGGGACAACTGTGCAGAGAGGCCCAGAGAGGCCCAGAGGCAGAGACCGGCTTGCTGCGTGCAGACTTGCTCTGAGTGAACGGGATTTTAGTGACTGACCTGCTACCTGTGAGAATAAAGTTGGGTATAACCCTTTCACCCCGAGAACGTTTTGCTGTCAATTTCTTTGGTCACATTAAATCCATAGCAAACTTGCCTGGGGCTGAAACCCATTGGCAAGACAGACATATTTATTGAGTACCTCCTAAGGTATTAGTTACTGATAGGTCCTGGGGATACAGTGATTAATGATTCCTGCCCTCGTGTAGCTAGTGATCAAAACAAATAAATTCATTAAGCAAATAAGGCTCATAAACAAACAGAAGCTATAATTGCTTCAAGAAAAATAACAGCCTTGTAGAAACTTCATCTTGTTGGGTGTAGGGGGGAAAGACTTCTCTGAGGTGTCGATCTAAGACATGAAAGTAAAACAGAAATTAGCCAGGAAAAGGGCTGCGGAGAGTCGTCTAGGCGAGGAAATAGCATATGCAAAAATGCTGAGGATTAAACCAGAAACACCCATTTCACTCACACTTAATATATTTATTGCGCATCAAATGCTACTGAAGTGCTGCCCAGAGTTTTATTCTTCTTGTTCACACAAAAAGTAATTCATAATTTAATTCCTGTCTCTATTTTCAGCCAATGTCCAACTAAAATAAACTCAAAACTTTAGTCATCTCAGTTTCAGCTTGTCACCCGTGGCCCTATGTAAAACGTTTCATCATGACATCAATCTGGCCCTTCCATCCTCCTACCGACGTAGGCCACGCGCTCAGCCAATCACAGTGTCAAGCTCTCAGCCTGACACCTCTCTTGCCCAATTGCAGGGTACCTCCTCCCAGCCAGCGACAGGTCGCCGAGGGAAAGCCCGCCTCCGCAGGAATATCAATAAGGGAGCCATGGGGGGAATGGAAGCCTCCGCTCTCGCGAGGATGCTCCCGACGCTGTCCTCTTCCCGAGGCGGGCTGTCACGTGGTGCCACCTCGCCCAATCGGCGCGCGGCCTGCGGGGGTCGCCGCGGTTCCCGCCAAATACGAGCGCGGCGGCCGCGGCAGGAGCCGCGCGGGCGGGACGGGGAGCAGCAGCGGCCGCCTGAGCGGAGCCCGCGCCTCCGCCGCCTGAGGGGAGCTCGAGCCGCGGCCGGGACGATGCTGGAGGAGCCGGAGTGCGGGGCGCCGGACGCCAGGGGAGCAGCCACAGGTTGGTTCGGGCTCGCGCGGTGGGGAAGGGGGGCCGCGGTGTGCGGCCTGTGCGGGCTGAGACGGAGGTTGAGGGCGGAAGGGCCTCCGGCGACGGCCCCGGGTCCGCTCTCGGCCCGTGGGGCTGTTACAGTCTAAAGAAGGGCTTTACTACGTGAGGGGCGCCCTCCTTGACGTTATTGTTGCGGCCACGACCGTTTCCGGCGCTTTTGCATCAGTTTGTCCTTCCAGGGCTCTGCGCGGTGATGGGTCAGTGTGGCCAGGAGGCGACTGAGGCCCAGGGAGGCGAGTGGTCTTACTTTGCAGGTTGGCCGAGTATGTTTGTGGCCCCTGAGCAAGTTGGACCCTGCAGCGGCCCGCTGGCCGGGTGGGGAAACTGAGGCCCGGGGTCACACGGGCTCGGGGGCCAGAAACGCGTCTGCGGGTCGGGGCAAGTCCAGGTGAGAGGCCTGGACGGTGGGCATCGTCAGGGCGCCAGGGCTCCCGAGTTCTTGATCCTGCCGTGTACCCAGCGTGAAGACCCGTCTTTCTCCGCCGCCCCCCTCAACCCCGTATCTTGGGAGGGAGCCTTCCAGCTCCCGGCAGACCCCCTAAAACTAGTAGTGAGCCCAGAAAGACCACACTGCCCGGGTCTCCTACTTTTTGACCCCCCATTTCCCCTCCAGCACTGGGCACAACGCTTGGCACATAGTTGGTGCCCAAAAGATGTGTTAGTTGAACGAGTTAAGGGTTAGCAGAGACATAAATTAGTCCAATCCAGGGTTTCTCGACCACATCATTATTGAAATCCTGTAGTGCACAGGATGGCTAGCAGCATCCCTGGCCCGTCCACCCAGTAGATCTCAGTTGCAACCTCTCCTCCCCAGTTGTAACCAAAAACGTATGCAGGCGTTGCCAAAAGGCCCCTGGTGGGTGGGCAGAATCGCCCTCTTGTTGAGAACCACTACTCTAATTTTTTCCAGACTTGGGGATTTCATAGACATAAAATTCATATAAATAAAGTTGGGACTGATGGTCGTGGACAATCACTTGGCTCAGTAAGGATGTTTAATTTAGAAGTACTACTTGCTATGACCATGCTATCATAAAAGGAAAGAGTGTTTTAATGCCAAATAAAATGAGGAAGAATGTAATCTCAGATCAAAGAGCAATGGTAGCTTTATACACGAGTGTGTGTGCCTTTGAACAGGCTGGATCCTTTGATGGATCCTTTTTTATGTCTACCTGAAGTTGCTTCTGGGCCAGGTCACTTCTGTTCTGCTTCCATCAAAGTTGGTAACTCAGGTCCACCCCATTAAATCTTGTGGCTGTTCTAAAAAATAAATTTAAGAGTAAATATGTATTCTTCATATTTTCTGAAGAGTATGTATCCTTCAGTTGAAGTGGTTGAAAATCCTTGTTTTTGGTGATGGAAAACTTGAGAATAATATTGTCCTGAAATAGGTAGAAAGGAAATGTGAGCCCTAGGGTTGCCTTTCTTATATTCCAAGCTTGGTGGGGGAAAGTGAGGACAATTTCCTTTACAGATAGCTGGATTTTTAGAGAGCCAGCATCTGCTTTTAAGAAATACTCTTATGTATCTTTTGCAAAACATATGTAGGTTGCCCAAAATAACTAGATTTTTTCAAGCCAGATCTCCTGGCAGGTGTCAGCTTCTAAACCTGTTCTAGCCATTTAAAGATACTTATCCAAAGACTTGGTTCTATTTATAGTCATTTCCACATCAACTTTGTTATTATTAGATGCTTTTCTTGAGATTTTTTTCATGCAGGAAAACATTCTCCCTTATCATTTCTTGACAGCACTTCAACCACAGTCTCGTAAGCTCAAAATACATTAAGTGGTATTACCTTCAAACAGTCTATTTCAAAACAAAGTAGATTGCTCTTTTCTGATTTTACAGATTTGGTGACAAGGAGGGGGTTGGACTGCAGGAGGGCATTTTGAGGTCCTGTTAGTGGTGAAATTGGTAGTGCAGTGTTTCCTATCACCTCTACTTTTGCTCACCCCCTCCTTTTCATTGTCCCTGTTACTTTACTCATTGATTTCCCACTATGTGCCAGTCCCTGGGCCAGGTGCTCCAGGTACAGTGTGGAACAAGCTGCCCCACTTTAATAGAGCTAGTGTTCTGTTGCAGGGAAACATCATAAACAACGTTTTTTTCACAGCATTAAGTGCCACAGGAAAATAAAACAAGATATGACAGTGTTGAAGGCAGAATTCTCAACTTGCTGTCATTTTGGGCCATGTGATTATCTGTCATGGAGGCTATCCTGTGCCCTGTATATTTTTCAGTATCCCTGTCCTCTGCCCACTAAATGTGATTAGCACCACCCTCTCACCCACAACTTCCATCATGACAACCAGAAATGTCCCTAGACATTGCCAAAGGGTCGGGAGGTAGAGGGACCAAAATCCGCCCCCACTGGACAGCCACTTTGGATGTAATAGAATGCTGACAGTGTATTTGTTACTTCATTATTCCCAACATTTAATAATTTATCCTTTGATGCTTTTATTCACAG